ATCTTAGCGACAAAAATGCATTTCTTACTTCGTTTACGATTTCATATATACTAAAACAAGGAGTACTTAGCTACCATATTTCTCAACCTATTCTAAGGCTACAAAAAATACAGTGAGCACAGAATAATACAATGAAGCTACTATAAAAATTTTAGGGTTTTTACAATCACCAATCTACCACAAAAATTCCTACAATAATTAACTTAATAATATTGAGTATTCTCAAATGATTTAATAGCTCCTAGTATCAACATGTTTATATATGAACTAAATATACTAATAGATAAAGCATAATTTTAGGAACATAACAAAATTGGTTTTATAATTTTTGGATACCTACATGATTTTATATGATTTACCAAAGATCAGCTCAAAAATTATATTAGAAAACAATTTCTAATTCCTTATGAAAAAGAAAAACATATTCTCTCGCGCGGCCCATGCGACGTAGCACAGACGTGTGCGTGAGCGCACGACAGCCCGCGGTGCGGCCCACGCGGCACCGGCCCACGCCCGTGAGGCGGCCCGCGGTGAGGAAGCCCGCGCGCTGGCACTCTTACAAAAATGTTCTCATGTTATCAAACAATAGCACGAAAACTACACATATTATTTCTATAGACAACGACTTTACAATGGAACCCTTGGATCTTTTTAGCTTCGCACCAAGAGGTCCTCGAGATGACCCGCGCTCACCGACACGGCGAGCGGTGGCACTAGGCGGTATGTCGGCCACCCGAGACCCTTGCAGACCTAGCTAGGGGACCGATGCTCACCTATGGGCCGACGCGTGATGAATGGCGATGGTTGCACGAACGGGAGTGAAGCAGAGCGGGCTCTCCCCATCGGCGGGCGACCTGCAACAGCGACAACCGCGTTCCCGTGAGCCACAACGCTAACAGGATGGTAGAGATAGGGAGTAAGCACCAGGGGCACACCACGAACCTGGTCGAAGTGGTGGTTCGGCCAGTGACTACCTAAGCAGTGTTGGCCACGTGCACGCGACAAGCACGACGACAAGCCACGGTGGACATGGCCGCGTCTGCGGTAGCGGGGAGGCGGTAGTGCTCCCACGGGCGTGTACACAATTGATAGGGACCCAAGGCGAGCTAGTGGTGCAGAGAAATTTACGCAGGGTGAAGTGGTGGAGGCTAGCCGTGGCACGGGCGATGATGGGCCTTAATGGCACGGTGGCGGGCAAAGCTCCAAAATTGGAGCTCAGGTGAGCTGCAATCAAAGCGGGGTGGGGGCGACTAGAGAGGGGGCGTGAAGGCTAAGACACGAGCATGAGTAATTGATGAGAGTTGCCCACTCTCTGGCTCACCGTGACGCGACACGACGACGGCGGAAAGCAGAGAGAGAAGAGAGAACGGCGTGATAGGTGGGCTCGGCTCGTCCTCGCCTTGTGGGACGCGAGCGATGAGATCGAGAGACGCACACGTTAGCGCTAGCCGACAGGCACGCGCGCTCCCGACCGGCATGGCCCGTATGGCCACAGCACCTTAAATGACAAGGCAACGGTGGCTCGCCCACGTGCGCGCGGCAGAGGCGACATGCACAGGGCCAGCAACAGCGCAGAGGTGCAGCAGACCGGCGTGGACATGATGATGATGCGATGGCAATGCAGCGTCGTGACGCGAGGAGTGTCGGTAGTGCTGGCGCGACGGCAACGTAGCACGGTCGTGGCGGCACCCAAGACGGCAGCGCGAGGCAGAGCAGCAGGGCGTGAGGCCAGCGGCTCGCTGCGACCGGCCTCGGCCAAGCCTAGGCGGCTCGATCAGCCAAGCACGGTGACACAGTTGACTGCGTGGGACACAACCATGTGTGTGGCGTGGGAAGGCCACACGGTGACCGCGCACCCGATGCCAACCAACCCGAGACATGTGACGCGCATAAATTTTAAAGTGCTCAACACGACCAAACGGATGCTTCTGGACCTAAATCATCTTCATCATGCTCAAGATGGCACATGAGACTACCAACTCAAGCTATAACACTACACCAACCTTTAACCCAATCTCTTATAATAAATTGCTAAACATAGCAATGTCTAGCTGTTGGCAGACTTGAAAATTTCTAAGTTTTTGAGCTGAATTTGATTTCCATTTGCGATTTCTAAGCTAGTAGAAATAATAGCTAGTAATATCATTTTTTGACCGCAAGTATTTCACTGTCATCTATAAAGTTTGTACTTCCAACTTTATTAAGGTGACACATATATGTTCTATAGCAGTTTTGCTTAATAAAATTTGGTTTTCAACCTTAAGTGATATAACATGACTATTGAATCAACTTTTGTTTCGCATTTTTGTTGATCGTTTTGAGTTACGAAAATTGATCTACACACTTTATTACATGCATTAACACATAAACTTGATGCTTATGACATATTTTAGTAAATGATTTACGGTGTAACACCGTGGGTGTTACATATGGGAGGCGGGGAAAATGGAAGTCTAAGCACCATATTGAGACCGGGTCTCAAGTGTGGAGGCTTGGAGTCCAAGTTTGGACGGGGACCTAGACCCCGTGATAGGAGTAGAATGGGTTGGTTTTGTTTGTGCCTGGGGTACAAACGAGGCGTGTGTTTCGGGGTACCCAGCTGTGATACATTGGTTCGCGAATCACCGTTTCCGTGAGACGGTACAACTTGGCTATGGTCTAGCACCGTAGTAAGAACTGAAATATGAAAGATGATAAATTGGTTCTGATTGCTCAACCCTTGCTTAAAAGTAGAACAGGTGCTTACCTAGAATGGTTAGCTAATGAAGTAATTGCTAATTAGACTTGATCTTTAGGACGCACTTTAAATAATGTTTTTCGCAAACAAAAAGAAAACAGTAAACCCATATTGCGTATCATATCCCTTTGAGTCGGGAAATTATTCCCATTAGTCGGATAAATCTTGCGAGTACATTGTGTACTCATGGTTTATTTTACCCCGTTGCAGGTGCAGCTTGAGGAGAAGCTCTTGTGTGGAGGATTCTTCTAGTGGGCACAGACGAATCCTTGTATCGTTTTCGCTAGATGTTTATTTTTATTCCGCTGTTTAATTATCGCAGTCTGAACCCTGGTATTGTAATAAATAATTTTTAAAAACTCTTGTTGTATGAAATGGACTAAATATTGTAAGCTCGTACTCATTATTGGATTCTGAAGGTAAAACATGTATTGATTCGAGTTCTCCCATGGGGTGTGCTCGACGGAACTGTCCGATGTAGCTAATTTTTAGGGTGCTTAGTATCTAATGAAAGACACGTGCATTTAAAAGCGTATTATTTCGGACGGTTCTGCCACAAAACAAAGTGATGCTTTGAACATATCACCATTGTAGGTCTTATTAGATGAAAGAAAAAAAATCATCTGACACCAAATACTTGTCCAAATACGAATACTGAATCTTCTACACCTAAAAAATCCCAAGAACTATCGTCTGCTCCCCCGCCTCTGCCCCGGCCCACGGCAAAAAAAAACACCTAAAAAACTAGTCCCTGTCTCCGAAAAAAATACGGCACAAAAAAATCATCCAGCGCTGCCGCTTGGTATTGCTCACCCGTGTCCGTTCCTTAATTAATTTAATGTTGCGAACATGAATTAGATTAGGAGTGGGTACGAGAATAGAAAGAAATACGGCGGATTCAAGGAAGAAAGAAAAGGTGGGAGGGCTTAATATTTTTTTGAAATAGATCAGGGTTCATGATGCAAAATGTTCAGATCTGAATGGGTCTCCTAGTGGGCTTCTTTTTTATCCTGGGTTGAGTCCTTACAGTTGGGCCGGCTTTGTTGTGGGCTGGACCAAGCCCATATAAGTCTTTTTTTTTCTTTTCTTTCGTTTTTCTCTTTTTCTATAAAAACAAAGATCTTGTAAAATTCGCTAAAAATTATAGAAAAATCAGAAAAATGTCAAACTAGTTTTGTTAGCTTCATAAAAATGTGATATATTCATAGATATTATGAATCTTGTTAGGTTGTGCTTTGTCTATAGGTGTGTTAAATCATCCTTACATATGTTGCATGAATATAGGTTCGACGATGACCGAGAACGTGCCAGAGGCAGACCCGGAATACGCGAAGGTGGCCGAGAAGTACGTAGAGGATGTCCTCGTCATCGGTGTTTCTAAAGCCTTCACTAACTTTTCGATGTCCGGTTCCTACCCAAGGAAGCCCCGGTGTATAACCCCTACTTTTCAGTACTTTTTTCTCCCGTTGCAACACACGGGCATATTCCAAACCCTCAATGACCACATGCAAACATGCACGGAAAAAAACACCCCTAGAGTCTGGATCGACTTCGTGAAATAGAAACGTCACAAATACACTTTACACCAATAACGTCAGGTACTATGGGAAAAAAATACTTTACACCAATACGTAATAGGCGAGGACTCTCCTGCCTTAGCTTTCTTTAGTTTGGATTTGGACTTCCACCATGCCAGGTCTAAGCCCAGGGTAATACATTTTTCCATTGGGTTCAATTTCAATTGCTAATTAGGTTTAAAAAAATTATCAGCAAAGTGTATCATGTATATTATCTAAAATCATGCCATGAGTTAATGGTACCTAGAAAGAGGATCCATTGCAGTGAGTTAATTGATTTTATATTTCATTAGGCAATGGATCCTCTTCCTCAGTACCCATTAACTCATAGGTGATAAAGATCGTTAATTACAGAAGTATTGAAAAACGTAAAATCAATTTTGTTAGGCTTTTATAAACTGGATCTATGATATAGGGGATAAAGATTATGAAACAGGCTTTATGTTTTTAATGTAATTAAATTCGTACATTTATTAATTAATATGTTCATCTAAGTTACAAGCCACGCTACGTGGGCTAAAATTTGTGGTTGTCGTGTAACGCACAGCCGTATATCTAGTAGTTTAAGAACTATAAGCAGGTGTTTGAACTTTTAACTACGGGATCTTAGCGATTTATTTGGGTCCACCTGACCAACTCACTCAACGTATCCAGCAGAGTGCATCCCCAATCAAGTAGACGTACGTTCAGGTAGAATCAGCGGCTGCAATCCATTTAGCTCGAAACCCCTTGTACTGCTCCAAGACCTTCCCCACGTCCGGCATCACATTCTTCACGGCGTCCACGGCCACGAACCGATCCGCCCACGCCGCCAAGCCCGGGAACTTGGCACCGTCCAGAAGGTTGGTGCCTCCCACCTCGTCTACCACTCTGATCCAAACCAGGTGGCTCCCGAGCGCGATGTCCACGATCCCGAAGGCGTCGCCGCCGAAGAACGCCTTCCCCTTGGAGCACTCCGTGAACGCCCGTTCCAACGTATCCACCGCAGGGAGGGCGTTCTGGAGCGCCTCCGCTCTCTGCTCGTCCGTCAGCGATCTGAACAGCGCCCTAAACGCCGGAAAAAACTACAAACAGAAAAGGAAACTGTAATTCTGACTTCGGGTGCGAGGCCGAAAATCGATTCATTTCCTGCATCCTGCTTCAGCAATGATATCATATCATATATACCGTGTCGTTGATGTAGGCCGCCCAGAACCGTGCCGTGGCGCGGTCGTAGGGGTCGGACGGGAGTAGCGCGGGACCGGTCCCCCGCCAGATCTCGTCGATGTACTGCAGGATCACGAGCGATTCGCACACCGGGCGGCCGCCGTGGATAAGGACCGGCACCTTCTTGTGCACCGGGTTGGACCGGAGCAGGAGCTCGCTCTTGTTGGCGAGGTCCTCCTCCATGTACTCGTAGCTCAGGCCCCTGAGCCCCAACGCCACCCTCACTCGGATCACCCATGGGCTCGACCATGTGCCCAGCAGCCGCAGCTCGCCCGCTCCTATCCCACCTCCTGGCGCTGCCATTGCAGTTGCAGAGGTTTGCTTTGTGTTATCATGTGCCGCTGTCTGCTGGGATCCAGTTGTATATGTAAGGTCTGAGGTGATGACCAAGCGGTGCTTGTTTGATGACTAGCAGCAGTGAGTCGAGAACTCGAGATTCATGTGGACAACTTTGGAATTTGTGGGTGGTCGTTTCTCCTCCACCGCTTGGTTTGATGACTAGCAGCAGTGAGTCGAGAACTCGAGATTCATGTGGACAACTTTGGAATTTGTGGGTGGTCGTTTCTCCTCCACTCGTCGGTCGCCACTGCTTGTTGGAAAAGAGGTGCCGCGATTGAGCCAGCGCTGTCGTGTCGTGTGTTTAGGAAAGGAGGTGCTACGCGCCCATTGTATCCGTGGAGGATCTGCGAACAGAGTGAACGGTGGGAACAGCAGTTTCTGAAAGTCAATGCTTCTTCCAAGTTCCATAAGAGAGTGGACTATTGTGATTCTGTCACACTTCTGTATAACAATCGAGTGGCCGCGCAAATTGTGCTATTAGCTAGTTTTATTATAATATTTAGGGTTTTTACTTGAAAGTAATATATGCAAATAGTTTGTTTATTTTTATTATAATTGTCTGCTCTATCTGCCGTACTGTGCTCATCAACATATATAAACTCCGTTTAGGTATCATCGCTAGATTTGTCAGAATGTTCCTAATGTCTAACGGAGCCACTTCTGCCTCAAGTAGCTAATAGTTGCCCCTCTCATGGCAGCAACACCATTAGCGCCTCAAGCCTTCCCAAACGAACTGTGGACTATTGTTGACGCCAATCAACTGCTAATCTTAGGCATGTTACGCACCCGTACTGTTGTGGCCATGTTGTTTCCACTTATGACCAACTCGTTGGGAAGAAAAGTCGAATGATGTTCGTTGCACTACTTGCGAGCTTCTCAAGATCAATGGACTAATTACACATAAGATATCAAAAGTCAATATGTCTTTTTGTGATTTCAGCATAAGCTAGGTTGCCAAAACTTGTTTCTGCCTAACCCACTTCCAAGAAAGCCATTAGATCTGAACGAAGATTGTTAGAATTGATATGGATTGTTCCATTAGGTTGTTTTCCCATTCATCGGCATTGTTAATAGTGATGCCATGACTTTCTTGGCAGTGAAATTGGGGAAGAGTGACTCAGTGAGTTTAGGGATACAACGAGACAATATGTTGAGATGGCAAGACATAAAGCATAGTGAGGAAAGGAGCGGCATATGGTTCAGAGGTGGTTCAATGGTTCTCCTTTCGGTAATGCTGTCCGGACGGACGGACCACCTCGCCCGCACTGTTTGCCCGTGCTGCGCGCCGCACGCCGCTCGACTCGTGCCTCCCGCTGCGGTCGTGCTCCATCCGCCTGTCGCGGCCACTGCCGAGGTCCGTGCCGCCGATGAGCTCCATATCCGTGACCTCCGCACCACTCCGTGGTATCGAGCCCTGCACCAACGAGCCTCCATTTGCCTAAGCAACAAGTAGATGAGCACATGTTGCAACTGTATGTTTTATGCGTTTCAAATGTATATTGCATATATTTCATCTAAATGTTGCATGCATTTCATCTGCATATTGCAAAAGTATATCTTGTGTTGCATATGTTGCAATGGCTATACACGTATGTTGCAAATGTATGTTCTAAATATTTCAGCCGTTTCAGACGTATGTTGCAAGTGTTTTATCCGGATGTTGTACGTGCTACAGTGGCTTTACATATATGTTGCAAACATATGTTTCAAATATTTCATCTGTTTCGGACGGCAGCAAGTGTTTTTGTTGCGAGTGTTTTGTAATCAGGCTCAGGAGACAGGCGCAGCAGCGCGCGAGCGTCTGGACACGCACGTCCAGGCTCTCGCCTTGCCATCCTTTCACCAGGGGAAATGATTGGGCAAGAAACTTAGAATTATTGAGACGGTGACGTTTCCATTTTTCCAAGTCGTTGCAATTTTTTTACGTCAACACACACAGCACTGTCCTTAGTGTGCTGACTGCTGAAGGAAGGAGGTAAATCACGGGCGTTTCTGCAAAGAAAGGCAGAGCATGAAGCGGACAGATGGCGGGTGAGTGGAAGGTTCATGTGCTGATCATGAATCGGATTTGGCCTGAGCAAGTCAGGCTCTTAGCTCTGCTCGAATTCGACTGTATCGATGTCAAAGCAGGATGATGCATTGATCATCTCGCCATTTGTCAATTTCGTAGGTCTTATAGACAAAATAGCAGATCACTTGACACCAAATACTTCTCCAAGTACATTACTCATAACTGAGCAGGTGTTTGAACTTAAGTAGTGGGTCTCAGGGATTTATTTGGCCGACACCGACTCACTGAAAGCAAGTAGACACACTGTGTTCAGCTAGAATCAGCAGCTGTAGCTGTAGTCCATTTAGCCCGAGACGCCCTGTACTGCTCCAAAAGCTTCCCGGCGTCCGGCACCACCTTGTTCACGGCGTCCACGGCCATGAACCGCTCCGCCCACGCCGCCAGGCCAGGGAACTTGTCCCCGTCCAGAAGGTTAGTGCCTGCCGTCTGGTCCACCGCTCTCATCCAAATCGGGTGGCTCCCGAGCGTGATGTCCACGAGCCCGACGGCGTCGCCGCCGAAGAACGCCTTCCCCTTGGAGCACTCCCTGAACGCCCGTTCCAACGTCTCCACCGCAAGGAGGGCGTTCTGGAGCGCCTCCGCTCTCTGCTCGTCCGTCCTCGATCTAGAAACATGAAAGAGAACGGCTAAGTCTGAGAGCCCGAAAAATCGATTCAATTCCTGAATGGAGTGCCATACCTTGTCGTCGACGTAGGCCGCCCAGAACCGTGTCGTGGCGCGGTCGTAGGGGTCGGACGGGAGTAGCGCGGGACCGGTCCCCCGCCAGATCTCGTCGATGTACTGCAGGATCACGAGCGATTCGCACACCGGGCGGCCGCCGTGGATAAGGACCGGCACCTTCTTGTGCACCGGGTTGGATCGGAGCAGGAGCTCGCTCTTGTTGGCGAGGTCCTCCTCGATGTACTCGTAGCTCAGGCTCCTGAGTCCCAGCGCCACTCTCACCCGGAACACCCACGGGCTCGACGACTTGCCCAGCAGCCGCAGCTCGCCATCTCCTACCCCGCCTCCAACTGCTGCTGTCTGGCGGGGGTCGAGTTGTATATGCGTACGGTCCGATGCGATGACCATTGACCAGCCGGATTGCTAAGTTTGACCAGCCGGATTGCTAAGTCCGACCATTTGTTCTTGTCAGTTACGGCGACTTTTCAAAGTAAAAATGCACTTTTTTTTTTTTGTAGAATCAACCAATCTCAAATTTAAATTAATATATAATATAGAAAACCAATTGATAGATTAATCATATCATATATTTTTTATAAAAAAAAGCAGTTTGCTATACAAAGGTTGATACTCATTTTCTATAAATTTAGTTAAATTTTAAATTAGTTGACTTCTTAAAATATGATATTTGTATTTATTTTGGTACAGAGAGTATATTATCTGACCCATACTATCTATGTTTTAGGAAAAAATATAATTCTTAAATACTGTTATAATTTAGCTAAATTTATAGAAAAGGATATTAATATGCAATATACTAAATGTATCATTAGATTTGATATGGAATATAATTTTAGAGTTACCTATTTAAAGTTATAAATCTTGATCTTATTTTCTACTCCCTCCAATCCAATTTATAAAGCATTTGCATATATCAAGAGTCAAAGTTTATAATCTTTAACCAATAACTTGACCAATAATTGTTAACTACTATAATACAAGCGTGTTACTATTAGATTTTTTAACTGGAAACCGTGCAGCATTGCTTCCTAGCCTTTTATTAAAACCAAAACAAGGACATGTTACAGAGAAGCGTCTGTGTCTGTAATTGGGTCTAAAAAAAAGTTAGTGGAGAGCTAACTAGAGAAGATACCTGTAATTACAAGAGCTATCGAAGGAGCACTAGAAGAACTTAGCCAATTCATGATCTGACGATGCAAGGGTTGGGGTAAGAGATACAAATGAAGCTTCACTTCTTGTGCAAAAAAAGAGCCTTCCACGTAGTGATCGAAGGCACCTTGTTGTTGAAATATATAGGCATTACACTCCTTCCAAATACACCAAACAACAATCATAAAAGACTTCCCATGAAGAAGGGATGTTGCGAGGCATGCCGTTACTGAGGAAACATCTGCAACAAACTGCCGCAGGGACTATTGAATGCCAAGCTTGAACCAGCGTGTTATACTAGAAGAACATTTAAAGAAAGGGGCTCTTGCGTTTGTACCCTTATTTTATATCGAAATTGTGATTTTGTCCCTATTTTTTTGACTTTGTGAATTTACCCCTACTGTGCCATTCACGAAGCACCAGTTTGCCCTTGTTCCGTCATCCACCCCTAACGGTGTTAAACTTTGTACAAAAGACATGAATACCCATGCGATTTTGCCCCTTGTTTTTATGCCTAATTGTGATTTTGCCCCTGTCTGGCCGAGGCTCGGTTGCGCGCGGCGCGGGGTCAACCGTCCGGCCATGGCGTGGCCACCGGAGATGCGGTGCTGGGGCCTA